AGCCTCATTTATTTTGAATTCCTTCTAAAATTATTCTAATAATGGGTGTACTGCAATTTTAATCTTACTTGGACTTCATCAGTACCAACAACAGGAATCAGATCTGGGTAGTGCAATTTTTATTTTAGAATTCCCAGAGAATAGTGCAAGAAGCTTTACTTCATCTATTAAGGCTAATGCAGAAGTAAAAATATTACCCGAGCCTTATGAACTAATGCAAAACTTCCTTATAAAAAAGCACAACCTTTTTTCTTATTTACACATATTTTTAAATCATTGCCTAAATTTTTCAGAATGACTTCAAGCATGGGTATTAAGCTCGTTAATATACTGCAGCTTGCGAAATGTAGCAGCTTTTAAATATAGACAAATTTCTCATCACAGTTAAGCACATATTTTACTTACCCAACATAAAAAAATAGACTAATAGAAATGTGGAAGATAATTTTAAATTATTCCAACTACCGAAGTAACAAGCGTCTAAGTATAACTAATAAATGTATTTAGAGGTATGAAGACCAAAATTGTGTGGCATTTTGTGCGGTCTCACGCTCCTTTCGTCCTATAGATGGTGCTTGACCTTGTTATCTCAATTTGATCGTATTGGTAGGAAGAGCAAGAAGAGCGCACCTAGTCCGGAGTCCATAAAAAGCATGATAATTTCCAGAGTCGGACCGTGGACGTGGTAGATTCCCATGAGAACTCCCCAGACCCCACGCTGGTTTTATCACCACTCCTCACTCCCCTTCATTTATGTGTTGGGAATATTGATTAGAGTTTGCCATATTGTTACACAGTCGTCCTCCCATGGGTCATATGAGAGTCTCCCTCTTATCCAGAATACCAAATCATTGACTTCCTATTCCATAGTATTTTAGGTGTCAACCCACAAATGTTGTGGCTTAACATTAAACATCAAATTAAGCAGTACCAAAACATTTATGGGTTGGCACAAAAGATACTAGAAAGTCATATACTTGGCACTACGGATAGAAACAGGATGGATAGGGTGGCAAGGGTCGAGTAAACTACCTTAATCAGGGCGATAACATACAGATGCTATGGAGCAAGAGAGATACTCTCATAAGACCTATAAAAGATCAACATGACCAAGTTGCGAAATGACGTATAGCATAGCAACTTTATAATGCCATCGATTTAAAAGCTTCATTTCCTTCGCATTCTCACCTTTATGTATTTAAGATTTAGAGTGTCATAATTGTAAAATTTAATCACAATTTCCTGGATATAAGTTCGTAAAAACATAAACTTCACAATGACAAAATCAAGAGCAACATTTACTATCTATGAGTTAATAGGTTTATCAAAATCTACATTTTCCTTTATATATAAATTACCCCAGTCATATATATATATATATACAGTATTGAATATAGATTGATAATTAGGCAGTTACAAAGAGATTCGGACTAAATACAGAAAAAATTGAAACAGATTTGCATTTTGAGTAATAATATCGATAAAGGGGCAAGTTAAGGGGAGATTCTTCGGAGTTGTCAAGCTTTGTATCGTTCGGAGTAGATTAGAATAGCCGCCCTTTAGCATTTTTCATAATCTGGAGTGACAACAATTCTTAATCAAGATTTACTTAAAGTGTCAAAACCGGCTAATTATAGAGGAAACATTTATATTTAATGAGCTAAATCTACAAAGAACCTTGGCCTATAAAAACAGGAGATAGTTTTGCGTTCATGTTTATTGTCCATGGTTTTGAAGGCAACTTAAAGTTTGTCATACTTGATCATTTCATAAAAGTTTTATCTTGTCATGCGTAGATTATTACACTTTCTGGAGCTTAACTACTAACTTCAGGATTATGTAGGCAGAAAGCGAAAATATAAATTGAATTTTTAATTTAAGTATCTACTAGATAGCCTCAAAAATCCTAATATTAGTTATACTCAGGTATTTGAATTAATTCCTAAATATTTGCATGTAGAATCTAGCTTCAGGATTTTTTTCTGAGTAAGAGTAAGTAAG